ATGATGATGATGATGATGAAAGTACATTCATAATTATTTTTTTGTATTAGATAAAGGCGACAACCGCCAACCTGACGCTTCGTTAGAGGAACACTTTAAATAAAAGTCGTTGATTACATCAAACTTTGATGAAGACAGCTGAAAATCCTTATATTTTCTAGGAGACTACTAAGTAACTGGCTGAACCTGTTACACTGACTTTCTTAGCTCTACGTTTATAGTGTTTTAATATTTGCAATTGGTTGGGTAAACTTCCAGGTTTCCTTAATAAGGGATGTAAAATGGTCAAGTTTTCTAGATGTTTGAACGCAAGAGGCGTGTCGGGCGCCGCCGCCGAGGAGAGAGACAAGCGAAACGCGTTCTCGCATGACTCCGTGACCCAGTGCCGGCGCGAGAAGTTGAGGACGACTCCATTGTGCTAAGCCATCGAGGTGGCACGACTGCGGCCAGTTACAACGCTTTTTTATATCTCAAAACTTACATAACAGAATAAATACTCAAGTGAATCTACTAGTAACATATATGTAACAGAGTTATCACATCATGAATAATGGACATTTATTTAGATTAAACAGGTAAATATCGAAGTAGTTAGAGTAGCGGTTAATTACCACTGAGATAGAAAGCCGTGAAATGGCCACCTCTGACTCACGCCTTCGTCGCAGTGCGGTGTGACTAACTTCTTTATAAATTACACTTACGCCTTCAGTAATGTTGCATAGGTCAATCATGGCAATTATTTTCAAAAGTTTCGTTGGATTTTAAACATGTGAGTGGTCTTTCCCCCCAAAGTTATGTTTATCTTATGCGCCGTTGCCGACGTTATAGCAACATAGTGACGAGGTCGGGGCGTCACGCGCCGCTGGTCGCCACCAGCGCACCACCTGCCGCGCGTCGCTAACAACAATACGGCCAAGCATGCTAATATCGCCTCTCTCGTAACGTATTGCAGTTTAAACTTGCATGCGATTCCAGCTCCTAACTGTACACCATAATATTATCATACACCTGGTGAAATTTTTAAAGTGTCAACAAACTTTATGACAAATAAATGCAGTCATCGAGTTTGTACCAACTATAACAGACGAAGAGTATAAAAAGTGATATATCGTGAAAGAAAATGGTCTTCCATGGACAGATTATACAATGAAAAAGGTTAAGTAATATTGTACAAAAATGTTGTATACTATAGTAGTTTGTTCTTTATGACCAAGGATCAATCCACATTACTAAGAGTTAAACTATAGGCGTTTTTAGAAATCCCTAATGTATTCATTGATATTTTGGTAATTAACCATTAGACATTAAAGTTAATTATATTCATTTTAAAGTAATAATGATGTTATCAGAACTGTCATATATTAGCAATAACACTACAGGAAATCTTGTGAGCTTGACATGCTTGCTGTACAAAGTCCTGCCCCTAGATCAATTTCTCTCCTCACACACCATATTGCGTTCTGTACAGTGATTTGTACAATTGTTTAAACTTCCACAATATTTGACCGCCTATATAACATGTTGTTAGGTATTACTGGCATTACATTATGCTAACTACTGTTACCGTCTCTAAATAAGACATTATGGGTATTTCGCTAACAACATTTAATATTCTTTTTTATTAGTATTCCACCTCTTTTACATCTACAGACTAGTATTTAAAAACAGAAAATAAAACTACACATTGTTAAAATTACTTCCAGAGAAGAAAATACCATGTTACTTTCTACTGCTTTTACTTAATTGGCAAACGGGTTGATAATGATATTATAAAGCAGCTCTAGTTAGTACTGAATATTTCGTCTGTACCAATAGACATTGTCACAAACATTTTCATTCATATTACAGACTGGTTAAGTCATGAAATAATGTAACCGAAATAGAATTTATAAAATTATTCAATGTGTGTGCTAAATGTTATTATCTCGATACATGTCTAAACTGAACTTCAACATAATATTTTTTCACTTATACTATGTTGACAGACATATTCGACTTGAGTTATTTAGAGACACTGAAGTTTTAACGACAACAATTGTAAATAAAGAGGTAAATACTGAAATAATTGAGTTTACGTTTTACAACTTAATATAAAAAGTGAATGCACAAACTTGCTACGTTGAGCAGTCCGCGTCGCTCCCGACTTGCTGTGTCCACCTTCATTATGTTGAAATAATCAACAAAACACAAAAACTAAACACCGACCGCAAAATAACACAATAAATAAAATTAACACATGTTTTCGGTGATGATTTGAAGGTAACGTTAATTAAATTAAATGAAATCATATAATTAACACAGGAGAATGGTTACAAAAATAAAAACTAAAAACAAACATCACCGTACAACGTCCATGATTGACTGACGGCTGACGGCAAGACAGTGTGTGCTGCCAGATGGTTGGCTAGTGTTTCCCCAATTTTTGTAGCAGTATAATGTAATAAAATCTTTACGTATTTTATTTGAAAATTATGAATTTTCAACAAACTACATCAATTTTAGATTATGGAGAACATTGCAATGCAAGAAAACTCACCACGTTTTAGCAAACATAATTGACATTAACTGTACATGACTTGGCGATGAAAACCAGATTATTGTCTGGCCCAATCCGCTGAGGGAGAGCTATTAACAAGAAATAAATAGATAAAACCAGTTTATACTGATAAATGGAAATGGGATAAGCGTTCACTTGAACCTTAAACTAAACAGCGTGATAAGAAGCAAAGTTGTGCGAAACCAAACTCATGAAAAAATATCATTGATTTATTTCATGTCTTTGTGTACCTCATAAAGTTTTCTCCTACAATTTTTCTCAGGAGCCAAAATATCCCTAAAGTAGTGGAAATTACTTATCAATGGCATCATTGAGAGAAGGAATCAAATGAATGAACATAGAGTAGAATAAACGAAAAATTGACAAGTTCATTTTTAAGCAAAATGCGTAGAATAACTGCTCATTTTGGCTCATATGGTGTTTTTGCGAAAATTATAATTACCTGTTTTAGATGGTAAATATATCCTTAAACCCAATTTTATATTGAAATAAAATAAAAATTCTTAAAACCTAGAAACTTATAAACTTGTAATGTTCTTAAAAAGGGAAATAAAATTGTTAACTGTAATGAATTCAAAGTATATTTTGTTAATTAATTTGTAAAGCATTTCTACGTAATAAATACTCATTTGGATAAATGTCTACAATAATAAAACTTATAACAATTTAATGTAAATTCAAAGGATAAAATATCTGTTCTAGGACTTGGAACGCAATGACATGAAAATAAATGTTGCTATTTTTCTTAAAAAATGGCAGCCTTTATGTCGTAAGCTTTTCTTTTTCTATATGAAAAGTTTTTAAACATCAATTTATGTACGATTTATAATGCAATTTGAGAAGATTCATATGGTTTTCTTGTATTCGAAAAGGAGTAAATAATTATTTAATGTTGAAAGTTACTATGACTGTGGAATCCGCAGTAAGTACATACTACGTGGTTATATTCTTTTTATAGTTGTATATATTTGCTGCAAATTAATTTTGCTTGTAGTAAGATTCCGGTTTGTCCCTAACTTTGTTGTTAGTATTTGACATGTTTAATGTGGATTGTTCTTTTAGGTGGTGTAGTCTAGTCTGCCAATGTTGAAAGGATTACGCGACAAAGAGAATAGTGACATCACAAAAGCTAAAGAGATCAATAATAATATGAGCGCTGGAAGTGCGACGCTGGAGCGAGAGCTGGCTAGCACTAGGCGTTTGCTGTGGGGTGACCATGTCAAGGAGGATGTGTTTCGGCGGTGGGCGCAGGGCTTCCAGTTCAGTCCCGAGGAGCCCAGCGCACTGATCCAGCAGGAGGGCGGGCCGTGCGCAGCCATTGCGCCTGTGCAGGGTTTTCTCCTCAAAATACTGTTGTCTGAAACACCTGGACATAGTTTTCAAGACTTAACATCAGAAAAGTGCAATTCTTTGCTTGTTAGGGCTGTGTGTACAATAATAAGCCAGTGCCTAGTTTCTAAGTACAATGTGGCTGTGTACCGCAAAAACGATACGGAAGCAAACACTAGCGCTGGCAACAATGTCAGCGCTGAAGAACAATCATGTGATGCAATTGACCATTTTCACCGTAGAATGGAAGTACACTCTTTTCAAACATTGTCTGAGGTGGAGGCTTTTTACACAAGAAACATACGCATTTTAAAAGATAAATATGGAGTTTTGCTTCTGTTATACAGTGTCATCCTCAGTAAAGGAGTGAGCACTGTGGAGGCAGAACTAGCTGAATTATCTGATCCTCTCATACACTCCACCTATGGTTATGGATCTCAGGGACTTATTAATTTAATGTTAACTGGACGTGCAGTTGCCCATGTTTGGGACCATGACCAAGTTGTTGGAGGATTGCGACTACGGGGAATCGAGAGGCAGAATGACATAGGTTTTCTTACCATAATGGAACATATGCAATACTGCACAGTTGGTTCCTTCTACAAGAATCCTAAGCACCCAGTTTGGGTTCTGGCTTCTGAGACTCACTTAACTGTCCTCTTTTCCTTAGAGCGACGGTTAGCAGCACCAGAAACTGCGGGGGAATCAGCTGAGCGGATTTTCCGCTCTTTTGACCCTGAAGGCAATAACTTCATACCATCGGCTGCGCTTCAAGATGTTTTATGTGCAGCAGATCTTGTCAGTGAACCTGAGTATGTAGAATTGATGCGACGAAAACTTGACTCTGAGAATTTGGGTATAATTTTATTAAGTGCATTTATGGACGAATTCTTTCCTGGTTGCGAACGCGGTGCCCCGGATACATTCACATTACACCACTACAACGGTCTACTGAGAAGTAGCCCGGGCGGGCGAGTAGTGTACAGGACTGGGCGCGCCGCGTTGCTGGAGTGCCCTATGCACGCGGCCACCACGGACCCCATGCTCACTTGTCTGCAGACCAAATGGCCCAGCATCGACGTGGTGTGGGACGATGGCCAGTCGCCTTCCCTCAACTAGCGTGATCTGCTTTGGTAACAAACCGTGTTCGGAACTAATGCTGTGACACAGTGAGGAGAATGAAATGTAACTTTACATAGTTACTGAAAATTCCATTACTTTATTGTATTAACTTATATATTATATATATTTATATATATAGAAATTATATTGGATAATGACCCGTGGCCCGCTTGTAAACCTCGCACAGTTTTGGGCAGCTATTTCCATCAAAATCATTCTGAACTCAACTTCAGTGAAAAACAATTGTCTGCTATTGATGGGTTGTGGTGGTATCTGGGAATTTTAACAAACTTTGAGGATAGGTAGTCGTATAACTTTGTAAAACTTCATTTGACAAAGAATGCTTTAAGCAAGGCAAATTGAATTGTAAAATGTGATTTTACAAAACTACTTGCTTCAAATATACATATATGTATAATATTTCAATTCTTTTTTACTTAAAATTTCTGGTTAGTGAATGTTTTCTGTCTTGCTGTATTTTATCACTAATATGAGCTAAAACAGATATGAAATGTATTTGTGTATCCACAGGGAGTGTTGCTAATAAAGTAATGTGGTGATTTACCAAAAGACTTAAAGGTACCCATAGCCATTTCATCCCATGCACCCACCCCATGTACATTTTGAGCATTTTGGTTTGAATTACAATATAATGTGATTGTTGTAAGGTTTATTGTTAGACCCAATTTATCAAGTAAACGTTATCTCCTGTGTTTGGGGCCTAAATTCTTGTAGAGAATTGATCTCCCTGGGCTCTCGGCAACGACTTGAGGTTTTTAATATACAGTTTAGTGGCTAAAGGATTGATGCCTTTTATTTTAACTTACGGTTTTCATTTGCTACTGCTATATTAAAAAAAACTTGAATTTGCTTGTACATTTTTATTGCCTTAATATATTTAATAATACTTTTGTTTATACTTTTATTGAAGCAAGTTTTTAATTTGATATTGTGGAAATGCTTAAATTAATGTTATTTTAATTTAAAAAATATTTCCATTTGGTTACCCATGAAAAATATGTATCAGCCCAACTGCAGGCGAGCTAATGTCAGTATAGTAGGGACCTTGGCTTCAGGGGCATTGCATTGCTCTCTGCTAGAACGGATCAAATGTGTTTTTTTATAGTTATAGAACCAAAGTTTCATTAAAATAAAAAAATAAGCCATATATATTGATTGCAATACAAGCAGCCGAAGAATCCTAATGCTCCTTAAATGGTGGCGACTGCTTAATAATAATATCACATTTATTAAATTATCATTAAGCCCCTGGTTAATAATTTTTCAATGAGGAAAACAAAAACGTTAAATCTAGATATGAACACCATCTATCGGGTCAAAAACTAATATTTATTCGTGGTTGTGGTAGACATAAATCTCATTGACTAAAACGAGGCCTTAAATTATATAAGTAAGACATGCATTACAATTATATTCGTAATTTCGAGCATAATTAATTTAGCCCTTATATGACTCTGCTCTCTGGTGTTGTATTTTTCCACAGCATGGGAGAGTACACTTTGTAGAATGGCAACACTGTTTCAAACTTTACCTCCTTATCAAAATGACAAACAATTGTCGATGTCACAATGATGTTTTTAACTTGAATAGCAGTAGAAAAATTAAAATACAATTAATTAAAATAAAACTAATAAATAAAATGGTAATGACTCCGTTTTAAGGTCAACATTAATTGCGTACTTTACTAAAATAAATTATAAAGAAAATTGCATGATGCCTCACGATGATAACGAATATAATAGGTTAGCTACGGAGTACGATCCTATAAAAATAGGTTCTATTGATGGTAAGTAATTAAAAATTACTGTTACACTACTTGTAATGGTGTATTGTAATATATGAGATAAATTTTAATCGCTTTCAAAATTTATAGGCACTGACTCTGAAGCACACGACCGCGGCGTGCTGCGCGCCCTGCGCTCGGAGTATGTCCCCAACAAGCAAGTGAGAGGTGATCCCCGACATACATTGTTCATTGGTCGGTTGAACCATCGGACAACACAGGTATATTTACTTGTAATTAAACATTACAACTTACAGTTTCTGTTTATAAAATAGCTTTCAATAACATATTCTGTATATAATGTCATATTTCAGGAAACAATCCACTCTGAATTTTCAAAATTCGGCAAAATCTTGAACTGTCGCTTGGTAAAAGATATTGTGACAGGGAAATCGAAACAATATGCTTTTGTAGAATATGAAAATATGAGCTCTACTGATACAGCATGGAAGGAGATGCATGCAGAGATGCTGGATGGGTCAGAGCTGATAGTGGAGCGTGAGGCAGAGAGGCGGCTGGTGGGCTGGCGGCCGCGAAGGCTGGGTGGAGGGTTTGGCGGTCGCAAGGAGTCGGGCCAGCTGAGATTTGGGTGTCGAGCCAGGCCATTTAGAAAACCATTTGTGATAGGACAAAATGTTGATCTTGTTCCAAATAATCAAAGAAGGTATGTTTGAAATATATGTATAGTTAGTTGTCATGTTCTATGTCTATGCCATGTTTTATAAAATACTTTTTTTTTTGTTTAGGGATCACAATAACTTTCATTAAAAAAAGCAACACAAAACAGGATGTAGACAATCTGTGTGGTCATGCACTGTAAATGTCTGTGTTTGTCACAAAAATGTGAACTGTAAATATGATTGTAAAATGTGCAATGAATGCTGGAAGGAATTTAAAGGATGGATGAGATCATTCACACGGACTGAATGTGCTCTGTCTGCTCTGCAACTAGTTCTCTTAGTTTTATTCATTGGTTTTTTGACTTTTTTGATTTTACATCTCCTGGCATGTTCGGCGACTGAACGTCATCACGACAATGTACCAACTAAAACTTCTCAAGAACCATTTAGTCCATCATCACCGACAAGCACCACTTCAACAACTAAATCCATTTCTTCAACAAATCACACAACTTTAAGCCCAGATGTAGAGTGCACCTGGAGACCATCAGAGAAGACTGATAGTGTCATTCATTATTATGAAAATGGGCAGGTTTCAACTTCAGCTGTAACAAACAGGAATGCAATGTCCACATGGAGGTCTGCACAAGACAATGTGAGCGAAGAACCGGGCAATGGCGAGATGGCAGATGATGTGCACAAGTCCTACATTCTTGCACTTGGAAAGGTGAACATTCCACAGGATGTAACTTTTGGATGTATTTTGACTATAATATCTGAGTACTGGACCCTGACGGCGGCGAGTTGTATAGAAGCCATAGAAG